CCTTGCAAGATACTGGATTTCCTCTAAGGAAAAGACTTGAGGGCAGTGTTGCTCAGCTGCCAGGGAGAGCATGGGTGGGATGACCTCACAGGCCTTTCCATCATTAGTTTCTTGATTGTTGTGTTCCTAAATTTTCCTGGGTTTTGGTTTTTGGAATTTTCAAAGAGATTTCTGAAAATGTGTATGAGAAGAGAAGCAAATTAGAAATGGCTTAATCATTTGTACTGGAGAAAGCACACTACTTATTTTGTTCTATTTAGTAGAAACAGCAGCCACTCACTCCTTCACTCAGCAAATATTCTATCACTGTGTGCTCTGTACCAGGAGTTTGCCTCATAGTAAGACAGTTCACCATCCCAACTGCCAACCAATACTGGTAATGCGTATTTATTAAATAAATAAAAATAAATAATGCGTATTTATTAAATAAATAAAAAGTGCATATATATTATAAGCAACGTACACAGAGCAGGCACTGACCCACGAGTGAAAAGTAAGCATTATATTAGAGAAGAAAGAGACTTAGTGGATAACTCCTGCTGTGGGTGGGAGTTGCTGTTTTCTCTGTGTTCTCATGCTCGAAGCTCCATGTCCTATGAGGATCCAGGAGGCGGGGCACAGAGAGCAGGTAAACCCAGCTTGCACTGTCCTGTAGCAACAAGCCACATACATGTACCTCCTCTAATACTCCTGTGGACTAGAACCACACGGCCTGGAATAGTGAGCTCTTCAGGAGGAAGGGGAAGTGCCTCATGATAAAAACTCTTGGGAGCTGGTGATGGAAAGTGAATAAGGTAGCCATCAGGACCCTGTGTAACTTGGAATTTGAAGGGAAAGACAGACACAAACCTTGCCACTTAGGCTTCAGTTACCTTCCAGTCCATCCTTTGAATAAAGGTGTACTGAACTTCATAAACTTCTTTGACCAAAAATATGAGGCATCTAATGATTATCGATTGCAATAAATAGTTGGATATATTAAAAGTGTGAGAAAAGTACGTAGCCAGAAGTAAAACACAAACAAACAAAAACAAAAACACAACCTAGAAATCATGAATTACAAATTTTGTGTTGTGGGAAATATAAATTAGGCATAATAGGAAATTAATGATATCTAGTAATAGAGCAATTATAGCAATATACTGTATTGAAAGTTACTTAGAACTTATAAATTGTTCATTTCTGGAATTTTTGTGTAGTATTATCAAGCTGGGGTTGATTACGTGTGACTAAAACCTTGAGAATCAAAACCTGAGATAAGAGAGAATACAGGACACCTGTTCCTCTTGCAGTTTGAAATGTAAAGGGATGTTTAGTTTCATTTCTGTCGCCCTGGTCAAATACCCTGACACAGAGCAACACAGAAGACAAAGGGTCCATTTTAGTCCCCAAATTCAGGTTACAGTCCACCTTGGCAGGAAAGAAAATGTGGCAGAAATTTAAAAACTAGTCATATCACATCCGTAGTTAAGAGCAGGGAGAAATGAATGCATGCATGCATGCATTCATGCTTGCTACTTGGCTTACCTTCTCCACCCTTACACAGTCCAGGACCCAACCGCAGGAAATGGTGCCACCCACAGTGGGCTGTGTCTTCCCATGTCAATTACTGCAAAGCAGAGAACCCACTCCAACAGACATACCCTCAGGCTAATCTTATCAAGATGATCCCTCTTCCCAGGTGACTTTAGATTGGGTCAAATTGGTAATTAAAACTAACCATCACAGGGGATGACAATTAAGACGAGGTGTCCAAAAAAAGACCCAAAATACAGTTTCACATTAGCCAGGGTAAATATGGTATTCTTTTGCTTGGATGTTTAGGGTTCGTAAAGTTCCCTGCATCCCCCATGGGATGGAAATTGTGCTAGATATTGGTGAAACATAGGGTTACTGTCGAAATTATTTATAAATGAGAAACATATTTTGAAAGAAAACACACCTCAAAGTGCTTAGTAATTTTGTGGTATAAATATATGCTCTCCTGTATACAATGCTTTTGGCCACTTGGACAGGAGAATGTGTGAGAATCAGTATTGTAGCTACAGCTGAGACAAATGAAGGGGAGGGGATCAATCCCAGGCAGGCCGGAAGGGTCAGTTTGTGACAGGAATTCACTAACTCCAATAAACTATGTGTACATCAGCCCTCATGCTACAAAAATTTAAATGTAAGCCCTTACCATATTCCAAATAACATGTAGACGGTTTATAGTAAAATCATGTGATTTTCATGGTATCCCTAGGAAGTGGGAAATAAAGAAACTCATTTCATGTTCTTTGTATGCCTCTTTCACAAACTGTAGTTGGCTGATAGATTTCCCCTAGTAAAAACAAACCAGAGAATAGTCATTGTCTTGGGAGAACCTTGTTGATTTGAGCTCATATTAGAGTCAGAGAAATAAAGACCTTATGGCATGCACTTAAATCAGCGCCTGTCAGAGTGAGGGTCATGACTCAGTAGGTTGTGAAATCCAGGGAGTCCCAACCAGAACTTAAAGACCAACGAAAAACAAACATAAAGAAAACACCAGAGTTGTTTTAGGCAGAACAGTCGAAAAACCAAATAATGGAATTTTAAATGAGCGACAGTGTAAAACGCACACACACACACACACACACACACACACACACACACACACACAGCCAAAGCCAAAATTTCTGAAGCATATTTTCCTGAACTGTTTGTTGTGCAAAAAAGTGTTTCAGTGAACAAGTGTCTGAATGCTGTGAACCGACACAAGAACAGCCCTGTAGCAAGCATGGAGAACACATCATTTTGTCACCACTTCAGGGAGTTTAAAAGTGGAAATACCTCAGAGGGGAGAAACAAAAATGGAGTTCCAGGACTTGTCGGAGAGCGGTCGGGACAGGGGACGACGGTTCTAGAGCCCAGGTCTGTTTCTACTCCATTTTCCTGTATACAATGACCACATTTTTAATGTATGCAACGTTGAGGCTTATTTGCTTTCAAGGGATAGGACCACCTGGTGCAAAGCTCAGGCCTTCATCCCAGACTTCAAGTCAAGGACAGTCCAAGGCAGTGCTGCAGCCTGGAGTTGAAAGCGGAGAGTCAAGTTCGAGGTCCCTCAGTCCTGAGGGTCTAATCCTATTTCTAAGCAATAATTAACTAATTAACCTCACACACTGTGTTACTAGATGAGGCTACTTCCCAAACGCTCCTGTAAATGTCCTCCTTATATCATTTTAACACGACAGAGCTAACACGGCAATAACGTAGTGCGATGGGTAAGCTGGAGGGACAGCCTTTCCTTCAGTTCCCTAGGAATAAACAATTTATGAAGACATATAGCAAAAATGAACTGCATTTTGGCAGGATTGCCTCTTCAGGACCTGACTCCACTTCCCTATTTCCAGGCGAAGTCTTGAAAATTCCACCTCAACGTGAGCCTCATTACTCTGGTCTCATCTTGGGTGAGGGTGGTCCTTCAGGACAGGGAAACACCCCCAACTCCCCATGGCCACCCTGGTCTACCCCAACTCTCAGGTCGCTGTCCTTTTGTCCCTGAAAGCTGCAAACCGCAGAAGTCACTAGATAACTTAATCTGGCTCTAAGCAAGAGCCCTCGAGGCCTGTGTACTCTTGTGATAAACGGAAGCATCCGGCTGAGTCAAGAAAGGGAACGCGGTATCTTTGAAAACTAATATAAACGAATAAAGCATAAACAAGAGCTTTGCAGAGAGAGTACCCCCCCCCCGCCCCCCACGCCCATCCAAGCGTAGGAGGGGGAATGAGTATGGGGGGGGGATCCCCCACGTCCTTGGGCTTCTCTCCGGAGACTTTTCCTTGCCTGGGCGGGAGTGGTGGTGGTGGGGGGGGGGGGATAGAGGAGGCTGGAGGAGGTGATTTCCTCCAGCCCAGGTCTGGTCCCCGGACCCTCCCCCTCCCTCCGCCAGTCGGGATGGGAGGCGCGCCTGGACCCTCCCTCCCCGCCCTCGTCCCATCACGGAGACCTGGGGGATGCGGGGTCCAGGCGGCGCTTTCGCAGCCCCCCGGCCGGTGCGAGTCCTGACCCTGCGCCGGGGGCGCGGGCCCCGCGTGACGTGGGCGCGCGGCGGGAGGGGCCGCCTCGGGGAGGGGGGGAGGTTTGACTCGGCCGCCTTATTAGCGCCCGGGCGGCGGGTCGCGGGCAGAGAGAGCAGACGGCCCGGGCCGCGAGCAACCGGAGCGGGCGAGCGGCCCACTCCTCCCTCCTCCTAGGCGGCCGCCTCCTCCCCTCGTCCTCCCGCCCCCACTGCGTGTGCGGCGGAGGCTCCAGGGCTTGCGCTGCCTCTTTCTCCCGCTCGCTGGGCTCCGGTTCCCACTTTCCCCGGCCGCCGCGCTCCCGGGACCCGAGCCGTCTCCGCGCTGCTTAGCCTCGGCGGCCCACGGTGCTCCCAGAGCCTCTCCAAAGCAGCCCCGGGGCAGAGAGTGGGACGCCCCGGTCCCTTCCCCGCTTGGGTCAGCTTCTGCCCGGCTCGCAGCACCTTCTGGCTCCCGCACAGTCGGCTTGGGAGGACAGGGTGAGGAGGTGAAGTGGAAAGGACCGACAGGGCACGGGGCCAGACGCACAGCTCACGTTGCCTTTTCATTGAGCAAAGCACAAGATCATTTTTTTTTTTTAAAGCTCTGCAACCCCCCTCCCCCTTCTTCCATTTTCTTTGCGCTTTTTTTAAAAAGGAAACTTATTTTGGGGTGGTTTGCGCTGGGGTAGCTGCTTTGCCCAGTAGTTGCGAAGTGCACTCGACTCGTGATGGTGTTCCTGTCACTTTGGTTGATAGCAGCCTCTCTGGTAGAGGTTAGGACGTCAGCTGATGGACAAGTAAGTGGAAAATAATAATAAAGAACTCAAACCCCACCTTTTCCCGACAGAGTTCCTCCCCTCCGTCCCCTTCACTCTCCCCTCTTCCTCTTGCTACCCTTCTGGGGCATCATCTGCGTTCCGAGGCAGCGCGTGGAGGGCCGGGCGCTGCGCGGGGCTTGGGGGGGCTGGGGGCGCATTGCACCGGAGGTTGGGACAACCCTCCCCCGGGAGCCTGGGCTTATCACACCTGGGGCTTCCCTAGCCCGCGGCGACCAGGAGCAGTCCCAACGTCAGACTGCCCCCAGATCGCATCCCAGTGGGGCCAGCCAGCTGTCCCCCTTTTGCGAGGGCGCTCCGGGCGCTCTGGCGAAGTTCGGGTCGTGGATCGCGGATTCCGGAGCTCAGAGGATCTCCCTCCTCCTGACTCCCTGTTCCTGCGGGTAGCCAAGGGGACAGGGGGTTTCAAAGGTCCCCAGGCAGGACACGGAGCTACCCAGCAGACACGTGTCCTGGGAGGACCGCGGCCGGGCTGCAGTTTGACAGTTGGGGAGGGCCTGGGACGTTTCCTGCCCTGGCCTTTTCCGCGGGCAGCCGATGCTGGAGGCGTCTGCCGCCTCTTCCCCTCCCCCTCCGCACAACTCCTCCTCTTTTTAAAGCTAAATTGAGTGCAGCTCTGGTGCCTTTCGGCCCTGCCCCCACTCTGTGGAGACTCAAGGTGAAGCTGATGCTCTCAGAAGAGTCTTTGAAGGAGGCTCAGGCTGGCCAGCCTTTGGTAGTAAATCAAATCATCGCTGAACCGGTGGGACTCTCACCGCATGATTTCTCTGTGAGTTTTTGTAGCCTCTCTGGTCTGGTGACCTAGTATTGGAGTTTTCCGTAGAGGCCATTGAGGGTCACTGTTTATTTTACTGGCTTCACAGATACTAAAATTAAAGCCGGCCAACAAGTCCCTTTCTCAAATAGTCATTGAATTGGCTCATGCTCCTGTCGCAGGAACCTTCTAGGAACTAAGTACGGTTCAGCCTTCAGGCAGCAATTCCAGTCTCTCGGTCTCCTGGTCTCCTGATTAACCAGTTCCCGAAAAGCACTGATTGGTAGAAATAAATGGCACAGGGCGATAAGATGAAACCCAGTAACTGTTTCTTTTTCTTATTCTCCCCCTCCCCCCCTTCTAGGCTGGTACTGAAGAAATGGTGCAAATAGGTAAGCCTCCTTCTCAGATGTCACTCTTACCCTAGCTAAGAGCAGGGAACAAAGTAAGCTAAGCTAAAGAATTGTTCCTGCAAGTTTTCTAATTAGTGGTTAAAATAATTCGTAGTCTGGAATCACTTCTACCCTTCCGCTTTCCGTAGGAGTGGGAGGGTCCTTTCTTCCCCAGGCTAAATTAGGGTGGTGTCGGTAGCCTCCCTAGTAGTTGGACTTCTCAAGCATTAATTTATTACTGATTTGGTGCGAGCCACTGGTCTGCACTGGGAGGGTTAGAATGGGACTGGAACACAAGAGATGCATAAAGTCAGACAGTTGTGGGGATGCCAGGAAGAAAGGGGGAATGATGAGAGAATTCACATTTTAATTTTCTTAGGTTTGTCTGCTTCGTCTTGACTTTTTTTAGTTCATAAAATTATTTCATAAAATAATTATCTTCAAATATGCAAAATACTGTTAAGGCCTTTTGCTAATAAAATTAGGTAATACTTGAGTAATACCTGGTGCTGTGGGGGATATAATTACTCCCATTTTACCAGCGAGGAGACTAAAGTTCAGAGTACGTGATTTGTAACAGGTTACTCCAAAAACAATGGCCATTTATTTGAAGTTGTTCATAATACTATGTTTTGAATGCTCACATTTGGAAAGCCAGGCTACAATTAACATCCTATAATACACATATTAAAAATTATTCTGTGTAGCCGGGCGGTGGTGGCGCACGCCTTTAATCCCAGCACTCGGGAGGCAGAGGCAGGCGGATCTCTGTGAGTTTGAGGCCAGCCTGGGCTACCAAGTGAGTCCCAGGAAAGGTGCAAAGCTACACAGAGAAACCCTGTCTCAAAAAGCCAAAAAAAAAAAAAAAAAAATTATTCTGTGTGTATGGGGTGTTTGCCTGTCTGTGTCCGTTCACATGTGTGCAGTACCCAAGGAGGCCAGAAGAGGGCATCATATCCCTGGGTACTAGAGTTAACAGATGGTTGTTAGCCACCACGTGGGTACTGGGAATTGAACTTGGGTCCTCTGAAAGAGCACCCAGTGCTCTTAACCACAGTTGTGATTACTTCTCTATTGCTCTGAAGAGACACCATGAATGATCAAGGCAACTTAGAGAAGGAGTTTATTTGGGGGCTAGAGTTTCAGAGCGTTGGAGCCCAATCTATCATAGCCAGGTAATATAGCCATGGCAGCAGGCAGGCAGGAATGATGTGGAGCTGTAACCAAGAGCTCACATCCTGAGACACAACCACAAGGGAGAAAGAGACTAATGGAATGGCATGAGTCTTTTGAAACCAAAGCCTACCCCTAGTGGCACACCTCCTCCAACGGAGCCCTTCCCTTAAACCTTCCCAAACATTTCCACCAAGTAGGGGCAGAGTATTTAAGTACGTGAGCCTATAGGGGACATTCTGATCCAAACCACTGCACCATCTATGATAACACATTTTGTTTAAATTACTTGAAAAGAGAATCTTAGTTTTGGCAGGGTTTTCCTCACTGTGAATTTTGTAGTTTTGAAGAGACCGTATAAAATCTGTTTGTTGAGACTGGGTTTCACATAGCTCAGGGTTGGCCTGGAACTCCCTAGGTAGGCAAGAATGTCCTTGAACTTCCGATCCAAGTGCTGGGATTAGAGGTATCTGCTATCACACCAGGCTGTAAAGTCATTCTTTTTTTTTTTTTTTTTAAGACGAAAGTTATCCCTACTGCCGCAAACTTGGTTACAAGTTATCGACGACCTACTAAATGCTCGGTGTCCTGTTAATTGCTTAATGTGCATTGTCTCGTCTGATTCTCACAATCTCAGGATGGGCGAGGTGTGTCTGTTACTGAGACAAGGAAACTGCCGCATCTACAGCTGCCTGTTGCCATGCACAGTGAGGGCCATGCTTGTTAGCTAATGGGTGAAGCCGATATCCAGGCTCAGAGCTGGGTCCAAATGTCCTCTGACTTAGGATGAGATTATGTTTTGTAGACCCATTATGAATTGGAACTATTATAAGAAGCCAAAGTGCATTTAACATACCTAACTTACGGAGTGGAAAATCCTAGCTGGAAGTGCAGCTGTGTTGGGTATTGCTGCCGATTGATGGTGGAGATGCTGCTGCTCACTGTGTGAGGATGTCAGTTCTGTTAGCGCTGTTGTGAGAAGGATCAAAATTCAAAGTTGTACAGTTTCTCCGCAGTCCATTTGCCTTCGGCAATACTGTGGAGCTGTGAATCACTTATATATGCAGCATGCACAGACGGAAATTGTACTTGGGGCTTAGTGTTGTGAGTCTCTTCCCCAGTCTTAGAGTTTAAGTGGCCAGAGCAGGACAGAAGGGAGGATGGCAGCTGAGCATGCGCTGCGTACTGCCTAAGAAGAGGCATTGGTTTCGTGGTGATTGATTGCACTCAGCCATCTATCTATCTTTTTAAAGGAAAAACAAACAAACAAACAAAACCAAAAAGCAAAACAACAACAACAAAAAACCAAACCCCCAAGTAGAAAAAGAACAATCTTAGTTTTAATTACTTATTTCATTGGCCACTCCAGCATTTCAGGATGTAATTAAAAAGGTGTTTTAAGATGACCCATTCTTCCAACACACTTTATTCTGTTTATTCACAGAATAAAATGCGTTGCTCTGATGAAGTTTTCAGATAGAATCAGGATGCTCTCATGCAAGAGGTCCGGGATTGGCTTTGGTCCAGACCTTTTTTGATATCAATTACTTTCGCAGTTCTTTCTGCAGAAAAGAAAACAGTGCAGGTGTGCTTAAATTTTAGCTTGAAGATGATGAGTCAGCAGCCTGGCAGGGGCGCTCTTGGTGCTCTTAGGTTGTATTTCTGGAGATTTATAGCATTTATCTCTCTACTCCTGCTCTATGGGATTCCTCTTGGCTATTTTCATTTTATTTACTATACTCAAGTTTAATGAAAACAAAAAAGAACAACATCAAAGATTTTGACCCCTGAGTCTGGTACTAATGAAGTATAGCCGTCATTTATAGTCAGTGAATGAACTCTGTGGAGTTTTAAGAATGCTCTGTTTCAGAAAATCTTATCCATAGGAATGAATTCTTCTTGACTGTCTCCATTTGAAAAGGGACTTACGGATTCAGTATCATGCACTTCTGTGTATTTAACTGTTTCTTTGGACAGCCATTCATTTGAAAGGTGGATATATGCAACTGTTTGGAGATGCTGTTTGATTAATGATACATTAGGAGACACTAATCCAGTCTGTAAAATTTATTTATTTATTGTTTATATCGGTTGCACTACAAATTGGCTAGAGAAATTCTATAGCGCTGAATGGTTTCTGATTATGTTTCTGGAAGAGATAAACATAATTTAGCAATAAACCACAGACTGTGGAGAAGACAAATTTGAAAGGAATTTAAGTTTCATGTGCTTGTAGGATAGTGTGTATCCATGTTACAGCAGCATCGAGACACAGCAGCTGTCTCCACCATCATCAATTCACACCAATATTCAATAGCTGCACTTCTAGCTAGACTTTTCCATTCCCTAAGGTGGGTGTATTAAATGCATTTTTGACTTATAATTTCTGATTCATAATGGGTTTACAAAACATAATCCCATCCTAAGTCCAATTTAAAAAAAATCTATATGACATGTTTTAGCCCACTAGAGTAGAAGGATTTTATTTAGGTAGAGAGATGGCAGTCTACAGTGGAGGGGATGGCAGGTTAGAATACATTAGGTTTCTTACCTATATAGTCTTATAGGGGAGATATGGCTTCTCTCTTAGCCAGTGGGGAAAATACGTTCTTTGTATTTGGGGAAGTATGACTCATTCTAGGGAAAAATAGGGAAATAGATTTTGAACTCTGATCTTGTCTGGGGCCTCTTGGTCAAGTAGGGAGAAACTACCTTCCCCCCGCCCCCACCCCCGCCCCGCTCCCCAATCTATGTTTGTTGAAATATAGTCATATATGTATGCTCAAGTATGTTTCATTAGCTCCTTGGCATGTTTCTGCTGCATGTTGGGGAGCTCTTTCTTGTCTGACTCAGCACATGGTCTTAGTGGGATGCAAAGGCATAATTGTGGGCATCTGGCTGGCTGGCTTAATTGGGTTAGGAGGCTTTCTCTGTGACACACGATGGTTCGGAAACAATTATCGTTCTGCAGAAATTGGAAAATCTGAACAAGAATCCTCAGTCTCTTTGTTCTGAAACCATCACTTTGCTATTCTCCAAGTGTCATTTGAGGAAGGTTCATGATATTAGATTAAGCTGTCCTTCCTCAGCAACCCTGGTTGGAACTGGGGCATATTTATTTTTCTCTGCTCTATTTCTAGTCTTCAGTTGCAAAATCCATTGCATTTCATTTTTTATAAAGGAGCTTATCTTTGTCCACTCAGACATCTAGTTTACTAAGAAATGCTTTGTCATCATTGGGATGTATCTATATCTACATCTATAACTATATATCTATGTCTGTGTCTACACACACTTTTCAGAGTTTGGTGGAAGTCACTTACCTAATTGACATGGAGTAAGGAAACACTGTCACTGTTTACCTCATGAAAGCAAAGACTCTGGCTTGAACATGGCTGTGTATTAGTACATAAAGCCACACTTGGTACCTGGTGGTCCACAGAGACTCATTACTCAGTAACTGGCTGTAGAAGGCAGGGCAATATGGCATTGAGATCTCTCTATGTTCTGGAATATCTTTAAATGCTTTGGTTCTGTGCCTTTCTTCAGGTTTAGTGAGTCCCTGAGAAAACGGTGACGATGACAATGGCTATCAGTTAATCATTCAATGTTATCAAGGTGTCTTGTGACTACTTTTATGCCACAAAGCACAAGGTCCTTGGCCCATTCAATTTGTGTGCTTTCCACACAGCCTGCTTGGGATTATTGCCCTGTTTGCTCTCCCTTGCGATTGAAGAAGGTTGTTGCTATTGAGCTGAAAGTTTTCTTGCCCATGCTTTTGCTGTTCTCTTGTTACTTTCTCAAATCATGCTGTAGTGCTCAGAAAT